ATATATATATATATATATATATATATATATATATATATATATATATATATATATATATGATTACCCAATGTAATTAATGATAAATAGTTTGTAATTATCTTTTTGCTAAAGATGTTAATAAAACATTATTGATAAATAATGAGATATTTTTTATTCGTCGTGCTCCGAAATGTTGTCAAAAATAAATCCATTACACAGTTCCATTTATGTTGCATTGGTTCTAAAATATTTCTGAAATCACTGCAAGCTTTATTCAGTTACAATCCATAACACCATGGCGTCAGTTTAAACGGATGCCTTCTGTATCCCATATCTGTCCTGCTATTTACCCATAGCTGGGGGGGGGAGAAGAAGATGATTCATAACTTTCCCAAGGGTATTAGCACGTAAGTGAATGTAATGGATTCGACTAGAAAGTCAGTCAGAGTGTCATGTGTCATGCGATCATGTATCTTTTGATATATGGCTGACGAGGAAGTCTTTTTTTCCGCAGTAGGTTGCAATTTCTTACTGTGGCAGACCAGTTGCCATCCAAAGCGATAGAACCCGGTCTGTCCTGCTATTTACCCATAAGTGAGGGGAGAAGAAGAGGATTCATACCTTTCCCAAGGGTATTAGCACGTAAGTGAATTTAATGGATTCGACTGGAATTCGAACTCGGCTCTCCGATTCCTCAATCTAAGCTGCTATCCCTATACAGCCTCTTTCCTTATATATCTAAACTATAATTATTATAAGAGTAAATAGGTTTGCCTATCACCCAGTCAACTGTCTTCTCCGTCTTTTGAACAGGAGTAGAGGTTTATTCATTTTTTCCTGATTAAGATTGTGTTTCCAATTCCATCTTCTAAAGGTTTTCCATTAATTTTCACTGGCCGCAACCCCTTGTGCCTTAGTGACATTATCGCCTTGCTTGGGGAGAAAAAATTAAGAAAGTGTTTATTTCAGTTTATTTACACAGTATTCTGTTATATATATATATATATATATATATATATATATAACCATACCTTTTGCACAATAGTTGTGAGTGTCTTTGAAGCTCATTTATCTCTAATTCTGATGTAGTCAGTCAATTCTTTTCAATTCTTAAGAAACATGCAGAAATTAAAAAATAGTTTCCGCATGATCTTAACAGAACCAAACAAATCCCAAGCAAGCAGAAAATCGTCCACCACCTCAGCACGGCTCATATATTTAAGAGAATCCATCATATGAATTCATCACGCCCTCATGGTAGCTCCAAGTTCAAGGGATGAATTCAATTTCATGGGGAAACAAGACAGGACAGACATGAAAAAATCGGAATAATAATAATAATAATAATAATAATAATAATAATAATAATAAAACCATATAATAATTTTCAATGTGTACGTATTTATATATACCCTGAACGATCTGTAGAGGAAAGGGAGGTAAACCAACTTAAGTTAGTAAATTTATGAGTGGTTACTTCCCTTAGTCGTTTTAATAATCTATACAAATAAAATATTTATTTTCATTTACACAGAATTAGTTCTAGAGCTAAATGAATCGTTTGATTAATCAGTTCTTTTACCCCCTACGTTTTGGTTCATAGAGTGCAATCTTGTTTGTTTAAGCCTGTCATGTGAGGCACTAAAATAACTTTGTCTATTAAATGAACGTCTTGTTTCAAATTGACCTTGAAATAAGCATTCAAAAGAGAAAATGTTTTCAAGACATGACGGTCTCTTGAGTTGCAACGTGTATCTATAATGGAATCTCAAATGAGATAAATTAAGGCTTCATCCAAGATAGCATTCACGAACTAAGAAGCGTCTAAGGTGTGGGAAATGTTCTCTGTGGGATTCAAAAGCAATACTTTGATACAAGTTGAACAACCTCCCCCATCAAAATTCCTCTTTCTACAATAATCAACTGGCTCATGGGAATGATTCCTTTTCACGATAGGGAAATCAACCAGGACATCGTCAACAAATGATCGTAGGGCTGGGATGGCAACTTTTCCACCTTTAAAGTTGTCTCTTTCAGATTGAGTATATTTACACTTCTTGTTTTAGAGACATAGAAGCTTCCTACCTGCCACTTTCAAAGTTCACACCATACCTCTCACATTCAGCCCTGTCACCATTAAATCTAACACCGTCACTATGGTAGAAAATCCTGTAAAAATTCTGTACGTATATATTTTTAAAATCTTCCCTATTTTTACATCTGTGGTATTTTTATTGAGTGTATTAATATATATATAAATATATTTTATATATTTTTATATCCACATACGCTCTATTTCTGATACTGAGCACATTTACCCATAAATATAACATTCCTGGTGTCGAATATGTCGTTTGATGTCAGGCGGAAACGTGTAAAGAAACTTGTCTAAATTGTGTGTAATGTTCCGTGTATTTTTTGGCTATCATTTGTTCGTTTTCAAGGAAAGAATGTAGAAAGTCGAGACGTAACCATTGAACCATTTCTGTGGTTAGCGACACGAAGTTCGAGACGGACGCGG